TGTCGACTTTGCTGCTCGCTGTCGTCTAGACTACGCTGCTAGTCTTGTTGCTGAGTCTGAGTCTGTCTGTCCTCCGTCCGTCGGGGGTGAGTGTGCCCTTGGCACGGACGTCCTTGAGGACAGGCAGGAGGAGTTCCAGTGTTTGGCTGCTGCTTCACCTCATCTCGTGTCCATGCTGCTTGCCCCTGAGGGAGACCCGGATGCACTAGACATCCCGACTCCGCGCTCTTACGCAGAGGCGGTTGAGGGTCCCTACTCCTCTCAGTGGCAGGCAGCCATGGACGCAGAGATGGCTTCCTGGAAGTCCACAGGCACCTACGTCGACGAGGTTCCCCCACCTGGGGCGAACATTTTTTATGGCATGTGGATCTTCAGGGTGAAGCGGCCGCCGGGTTCTTCGCCTGTCTTCAAGGCGCGTTACGTTGCTCGTGGCTTCAGTCAGCGGCAGGGAGTTGACTACTTTCAGACCTTCTCTCCCACCCCAAAGATGACCACTCTTCGGGTACTGCTGCACGTCGCTGCTCAGCGTGACTACGAGCTTCACTCTCTTGACTTCAGCACAGCCTTTCTACAAGGCAGCCTGCACGAGGAGATCTGGCTGCGCCGCCCACCTGGCTTCACTGAGTCGTTTCCCCCTGGTACCCAGTGGAGCCTCCGGCGGCCAGTCTACGGTCTCCGCCAGGCACCTCGTGAGTGGCACGACACACTGAGGACTACACTTGCGGCTCTTGGGTTTGCTCCGTCTACTGCTGACCCGTCGCTGTTTCTACGCACCGACACTTCTTTGCCGCCGTTCTACATCCTCGTGTACGTCGACGACTTGGTCTTTGCTACTGCTGACACTGAGGCACTGACTCTAGTGAAGTCGGAGCTGCAGAAGAGACACACGTGCACAGACCTGGGTGAGCTGCGCAGTTATCTTGGCTTGCAAATCACTCGGGACAGAGCACGCCGCACCATCACTCTGACCCAGTCACACATGGTGCAGCAGGTCCTTCAGCGCTTCGACTTCCAGTTCTCCTCGCCACAGTCCACTCCTCTGCCTACTGGTCACTCGCTCTCAGCTCTGCCTTCGAATGAGTCCGTAGAGCCGAGTGGCCCGTATCCAGAGCTTATTGGCTGCCTCATGTACCTGATGACTTGCACTCGCCCTGACCTCGCTTACCCTCTCAGCATCCTGGCACGCTACGTTGCGCCCGGGAGACACCATCCAGAGCACTGGAAGGCAGCTAAGAGGGTGATGCGTTACTTGTGCAGTACGTCAGGCATGGGGCTCGTGCTTGGAGGACGGGGTCCAGTTGTCCTCACTGGTCACGCAGACGCTTCTTGGGTTGACGACTTGGCTACGCAGCGGTCGTCACAGGGTTACACCTTCAGCCTTGGCTCCGGTTCTGTCTCTTGGCGGTCTACCCGCTCTTCTTCTGTTCTCAGCTCTAGCTGTGAGGCTGAGATCTATGCAGGGGCCATGGCTGCACAAGAGCTGCGTTGGCTCACCTACCTGCTGACCGACTTGGGCGAGGTGCCTCGTTCTCCCCCAGTTCTGTACGTCGATAACAAGGCAATGATTGCTTTGTGTCGCGAACAGAGGTTGGAGCACAGAACGAAGCACATCGCTCTTCGCTACTTCCTTGCTCGGGAGCTGCAGCAGCGTGGTCAGCTTCGTCTTGCCTACGTGGCCTCTCAGGCCAACACTGCTGATGTGTTCACCAAGGCACTTTCGCCTCGTGACCATCAGCGCTTCTGTACTGCACTTGGCCTTGTTCCTGTTTCTTCTCACTTACTTACTTCTTGACCTTGCCTGTACTGTGATCTATATTGTATACCTGCATGCCTACACTTGTTAGGTAGTGATCACTGTACTTTTGCTTTTGCATATATATTTCTGCATGCGGACTGGCCCTTTGGCCCTTTGCTTGTGCTCAGATTGTGTGGTGACGTTGTGATCCACCCTGAGCTTGCTTTGCTTCTCTTGACTGGTCTTGTGACCCCTTGTTCTCCCCCACTTTGCCTATGGGGGTGTGTCAAATGATATATATGTTTAGGCTATAGTGGGGTAGCCAATATGGGGTACAGCCCCTTTTTAGGGTTTCATATTTGCACCAATCTCATTCATAGTTCATTCATTCCTGCCTACTATCTTAACACTCCTATCTCATTCGACGAGAAATAACCATGGTAACAGGGCAATTCGTTCTACTTGAGGTTATGAACATTCGCCTACCCGGCTCGTCGTCACCTCGCCTGCTCTTCTGCGGACCTTTATGCATTGTGAAATCAATCACCTCATTCACAACAAAATTTCACTGTCCGACGACAGGTGTGTAAACGACGCATTCCACGACATTATTCTCAAGCCTTTCGTTTCAGGAACGACGGGCATTGCCCGCCAAAATGCCGCCCCAATGGCTCGACATGGCATTGAAACAACACTTGACTTGTCAAAAATTATGAGGCACTATGTGTCAAAACAGTAGGCAGAAACTAGAAACAGGAAAGAGGGTTTGCACTAGCAGGCAGTTGAGTACATATTAGCTAACCCTAATTTGGGCTATACTCGCTATAGAGTACCCTACTGCAGGCTAGACAAATATCACATTCTGACACTATGTTCGACTTGACGCCTCTTGGCGCCATGTAAATTTCTTGATTCGCTCGATAGATACAACACTAAAGATGACATGTAGGTGGTATATGTCTCGTTAGAACCACATGTTATTCTTTGTGCATACCTCGCCTAGAAGCGAGCTGCGAACAATTATCCCCTTTCTTAAGGAGGGGAGGGGGTTGGGTGGGAGGAGGGTGGGAGAGTGTAGTGTAAGGAAGATCCATTTTCCTTGAACGGGGTTGACTACTTCGCGTATAACCTTAATTTTCAGACTTGCACGTTCGGCCGACATACAGAACACCAAGGCTGCCTCGCGTCGCCTTCAGAATTCCCTTCCAAACCTGCCCCAACCTCGTTTTCTTGAGGTTCCCCCGTAGCTACAGTAGTCACTATGAAGTGTCGCGTCCTTCATCGTATCGAATCCTCAAATTATCCCATGTTCGTAATTAGTTTCTGCGCAATTCTGTTGTAAAACTTATAGAAAACCTGCTCATGATCATATGCAATTGTAACCCATCTGATAGAATCCTCATCGCTGATGTTTGCTAACCTAGCCCATGGACAAAACTGATGCCAAGAAAAAATAGATTCATTTTATGTGGCATTGACGATGACGCATACTCGGTGTGTAACGCAGCTCCAGCTTGTACGATTTGTGATTTGCTTGAAGGCGCTACGACATAATTAGCGCTTGCCAAGCCTCAACTTCGGTGGCTTTCAGGTGGTTGACGGATGACCTCGACAAGAAGCCCCTAGCAGACGAGGTTCGGGGAAATGGCAAGTGTGTATGAGTTGTCAATGAAACTGTGGCTCGGCAAAGGCTCAATTCTTGCGTTCTGCAGTACTCCTGAGTCCACATGTCCATCAACTTGCTCATCATTCCCTAGGGACTTCTGCGGCTTTGGGGAGGTGCAGGTCTTATGTGTATGAACTCGCGTCGCAGGCATATCTGAAACAGAAAGTGTAGGAAACAGTTACGGGTATTTCACACCTCATCTGCGGTACCTTTACACAGACATATTCATTTACCATTTCCCCCACTTTGTCCACATCAATACGTTCGACTGAAACCTAACAATCAATTTCTGTAAAGAAGCAGATACTGTAGGCAAAAATTTTTTCAGAGAGTGCCTGACTATTCCTTGTACCCTCTTCAGGTTTCTTGTGTTGTACAATTTGAATGTCTGGAGATGTGATTGGCTGCAGCATCCAGGTCGTCGTCACGGCACCAATGCTGCTGCTGGCAACATTTGCGGCTCGACTAGAAACGCCGTTCTTGCCTGCTCGCTGCTTTCTTGTACAACCTGCGCTTGGAAAAAGGTTGTTCTGCAGGTTTGGTTGTCGGTGACACAGAGTCGCACAACAGCACCAGCTCCTGTGAAGGGCGTTTCGCTCTCCGGAACAGCGTGTGAAAGGGCCCTTCATTCCTTGAGAGGGCCCTGTGCGTGTAGTTGTCTTGAAACTCACTTCCATTTGTTCATGGGAACATGTATAAAAGCGCTTCGCATTCGTTATCACAGAACCTAGTTTTCATCCACTGGCAGTGAACTTCACCCCGTCTTCCACTCACAGATGCTGAGCTTACGCATTACTTCAACGTTTTCGTGAAGAATCCTGTGCCTCATTTACTACCAACTTTCGGATGCGCAGCAGTAGGATCCTGAGTGATTCCTCGTTCTCTCTCTCCCTTTCATCCTGGATAGAGTTTCTCATCCCTTCGTTAGAGCGGCGTAAAATGACCATCCTTATTGTCGTTCGTACGACTCCCTAATTCGAGCACGTGTAAGTCAATCAGTTTCTCTAGCTCATGATTCTCCTTTTCCTTAGAAGTGTGGCTTAGCCAGACCTTCTGTCGTTCAGCAGGTGGTGCATAGCATCTTCCAGACTTTTCACCAGCCTTGAGTCAACCAGGATTTCATTCAGCCTAGACTTTGCAACCAACAAGCTCTGATAGAGCACATTTGCCTTCTCCCGATATATTTAAGGGGAAAAGGGGATTCGTTTAAAAATAGACGAAACTTAAGCATTTTTGTCTAAGTGACAATGGGTTTTGGCAACAAGGAAAGCGACGAGCAAATGTCTCGTTTGCGCGCTTGCACGTCGGACCTGAAGGCCGCAGATCAGGTCACTGCGGAGAAAAATACCTGCGACGCGCTCGGCCTCCTTCACCCGGACGGTCCTCGCTTCCACGCCTGGAACCTGTATGTGTATTTTTTTGTTCGGAAGCCAGTTTTTTCCTTCGAATACTCATGCAGACGTTTCAGCGTTCACGCTTTGTTCACGTGTTGCAGACTGTAAACATGCGTTCGCCTCCTTCCTAACTGTATCTCCACTCTCGCATTCTATTCGATGCTCGTCTCGCGTCTCCCTCGGCAGGCTCATTCACACGCTCGTCATGTGGTCGTCGTTCTGGGTCACCCTGGAATTCGCGTTCATTCCGAACCCCTCCCCGGCGATTCTCTACTTCGACAGCGCCGTGTGTCTCGTCTTTATCGCCAATATCGGCGTCACCTTTAAAGCAGCCATTCGCTCCAGCAAGACCCTTCGCCTCGTGACGTCGAGGAAAGCGATCGCCACGCGGTACGCCTGACTTATCCTTGGTTCTTCCTTATCCGCCAACGCTCCTTATCGCGGATGCCTTGGTTTCTACAGAACCTTGTTCGAAACATGGTTTCATTTTTTCTTTTCGTTCACTGTGTCCGTTGTTTCAGATACGCGAAAGGCGGTCTGCTATTCGACGTTCTGTCGTCCATTCCGCTCAACATGATTTATTTCTGGGCTACCGGTCAGCCCGCTTCCGGAGCCCTTGGCTATGTCATTCGGGGTCTTCCTTGCCTGCGGCTGTACCGAATCGCGCACTTCTATCGCGATCTCTCCGCGTGAGTCTCCGCCGCCGAATGACAACTTCCGCTGTGCAGCGACCATGCTGTTACACGAAATGCCTCTTTGTTGTGCGCTCGCACGTGCCGGGATTACGTGCCGGGGTTACGTAGTCACGCTGCCGTCTCTACGTCATCCACTCCCAACTCTAAGTATTCAAAGGTTGTTTCGCCGCTCTTGTCGTCTATTGCTGTGCAGGCTTGGGATGGCCGGCCCCTCGGTGTATTTCAGCATTCGCATTTTCAAGCTTGTGCTGGTGAGTGGCATGGAAGTGGAAGTCTGTTTTCTTTGCTCGCACTGATGAGCCACGTAGGGCTATAATCCTGCCATATCGTCTTCTCCTCCTCCTCCCCGTTTTCCTTCCCAACCCCCCCTTCCCACCCCCTCCCCCCCGTTGTTTCTCTTACTCTCTCAATCCGTCGCCTCTTATCCATCCCACACTCCGCTTCACTGTCCGATGTTCGCCCTCTCGCCTTTCCTCGCGCCTTTCCTCTTTTCCTCATACTGGCGTCACTTTTGAGGCGCCTCAAAAGTCCTCTCGCCTTTCCTCTCGCCTTTCCTCTCGCCTTTCCTCTCTCCTTTCCTCTCGCCTTTCCTCTCGCCTTTCCTCTCGCCTTTCCTCTCTCCTTTCCTCTCTCCTTTCCTCTCGCCTTTCCTCTCGCCTTTCCTCTCGCCTTTCCTCTCGCCTTTCCTCTCTCCTTTCCTCTCTCCTTTCCTCTCGCCTTTCCTCTCGCCTTTCCTCTCGCCTTTCCTCTCGCCTTTCCTCTCATACCGGCGTCACTCGCGCAGCACCGTCCCGAGCCCATACAGGTCTCAACAGTCTTCAATCTGCCTCTCCTCTGTGCATGTACCTTTCCCCATGGACGCGCGCAGAATATCCTACTGGCGTCGCACTTCTTCGCCGTGGCCTACTTCTTCCTCACTCTCATGGAGCCCGACCCGGAAAACACCTGGATTGGCCAAGGCATCGGCCCGGACTGGCCCGAGCAGGTAACTTTGCTGTTCGTTCGTTGATCCTGCTCCCGTTTCTAAGTATCGCTGATGCGAGTTGCCATCTGGTGCTGATTCGCAACCCATCATTCCGTCTTTCCCGTCTCCCCTCCTTTCCGCGTGCTAAGTGGCGGATAAGCGATGTTCCGTTCTGTTCTGTCAATACCCTTTTCTTTCTTTCTTTTTCTTTTCTTTTTCTTTTTTTCCTTTTTTCTCTCTCTTCCCTGTTCCCTACTGAGCAGTCCCTGTTCCTGCAATATTTGATTCGCCTCAGTTTGTTCTGCCAATATCCTCAGTCGCTTTTCTTTTCCCTTCTCTTTGTTGTTCCCATCTGAGCAGTCCGTGTTCCTGCAATACGTGGCGGCGCTGTGGTGGTCCATCTTCGTCATCACCAGCATCGGCCCCGCCTACACCTCCGTCACCACAGCTGAGCAGATCTTCAGCTGCTTCTACGCGCTCTTCGGCATGGCCACTGTGGGTTCTTGCATCTGCCATGAGCACTGAAATATAGCTATGGTTATTGGCATGGCAACTGTAGTTTGTATGCCTCTGCCACGGCTATTGGTGCATGATATGTCATTCTCAATAGGTCCACGTTCGAGCCACCATCTCCGGTTTTGTCTGTGGTGTCTTCCTGCTTCTGTAGCTTCTTCTGACCATTCATTTTATACCGCAGCCCTTTGGCTGCGGTACTACAGAGATCCTCAATACACCCGTTGCTTCCCATTTGCCTGTATCTTCTGTACATCTTGTATTGTGCAATCTGGTTTTGAACGACCTTCTGTGTTGCGTTACCCTTCTGTCTGGTCACGCGCGCGAACAGCTTGCGTACACCCTGGGAATGCACGCTGACTCTGCTGTTGTCATTCTCTCCGTATGAAATCCGTGTGCATTGAAACTGGCACAAAACGCCTCAAAAATCACCTCTACGCTACCCCTCTGTGTCTGTTGCATATGCGAGCAGCTTGCGTACACCCTGGGCACGCTGACTCTGCTGTTGGTCAAGCAATCCAGCAAGACCATGGAATACGTACGTCACGCTCCTTCTCTTCTCCCGGGTCTCCCTGCCTTTGACATATCTGGCGCTCATATCTGCTTTATCTGACGCGTTCGCCCTTGTTGCAATCGCATTGGCCTTTTGCACATTCTTCGTTGCCTGCCTCTCTCTGACTTCGCACAGTCCGCAATCCCCACAATCCTGTGACTGTCCGCTCACACCACCGAATTCCATTTGTTCTGACCCTTTTACAGCACGAGGACATGGCGGCGCTCAAGGCCTATGTCGCCCGCACCAACCTACCTGCGGACGTGGAGCGGCAGCTGAAGCAGCAGCTGCGCGTGCAGCTGCACATGCACAAGTCCGACGCCTCCTCCTTCCTCTCTAGCATCCCCCACCACCTGCGCGTCACCGTCTCCCGCCAGCTCTACCTCCCCATCGTCGAAAACCTCGAAGGCTTCCGCCTCTGCTCCAAGCCCTTTCTCAACCAGCTGGTGGGTTCACTTGATGGTACTTTTGAGAATGCTCAAAGGTTCACTCGATCGGTACTTTTCCAGGCCGGCAGTTTGTCTACCCGTTGTTGTCCCTGTTCAGTTTTGTCTCTCAATCAGCTGGTGGGATCCCACGAGATTCTGTTTTTATTCCTTTTTTGTTTGCCGCTTCGGTCTCCTGCATGCCATGCTTTGTTCGCCATACCACCTATGATGCGGCTTTGTTGCTGTTTCTTATGCATATGTTCGCCATCCCATGTTGTTCTCCCGCTGGGCGGTGCCAGGTGGCAGAGATGGAGGTGGACACAATCATGCGCAACGACATTGTCACATCTGAGGGCGATGTATCAACCCATCTCTACATTGTACTCTCTGGCAAACTCGTCCGTGAGGACGGACCAGCATCAGCCCTTCAGAGCGGGGTGAGTTGTGAGACGTCTCAAACCTTTTGGTCCTAGCTACCCGTGCCCGCATCTCTACATTGTGATTGTGCTCTCGGGCAAACTCGTCCGTGAGGACGGGCCTGGAGCAGCCCTCCAGAGCGGGGTGAGTTTTTACTTTTGAGATTGCATAGAATTCTCAAAAGTATCCACATAGCCTGGATCAGCCCTCCTGAGCGGGGTAGGTACTTTTGAGAATTCTCAAACCCACAGAGCGGTCTGTAAAATCCACATATCCTGGAGCAGCCTACTCTCACCTGCCTGACAACTCCGTGTGTGCGTCACTCAGCCATCCCTGCCGAATGGTTGCCTTTTTTCGGAAATGTGACTAGAATCGAAGCTTCAATTCGACTGCCTTCCGTTTTCCAACAACAGCTGGCGTCTTGACCCCTACGCTGTTTCTCCTGCTGTTGCTGTGTCACTGTTGCCCTGCCCTCCCTGCAGTTCTCCTCCTTCCTGACGGCGGGGTCGGTGTTTGGCAAGACAGCGGTGATGTGCGACGTGCCGCAGCTCTTCACAGTGCGAGCGTTGGAGCACAGCCAGCTGCTGCGCCTCTCCAAGTCCGCCTTCACCACCATCGCCAGAGCCTACCCTGCCGACTCTGCTCTCCTCTACTCCGCCCTCAAGCAGGTAACCGCCCAGACGGGTAACCGCCCAGACTCGCTAGGGTCTCATAGGCTGGGTCTAATATGCATCGACTGGCCCTTTTTGTCGCACTCTTCATGGGATAATGCTCCAATCCGAGCTATGTCACAACACGTGTCACTGTCACATTCTTGCTCTGTCTCCCCTGTATGGATACTCTTCCTCCCCAATTCCTTCTTGCAGAAAATCGACGGCCCAGATGTTCTCACGCGCACGCCCTCGGAGATCGCAGTCTCGCAGGGCCTGGCGCGCTCACCGCCCTCGTGGAAGGCCCTCGGCGCCACCCCAAAGGAGCCAGCTCAGGGCAAGGGTGCTGCTGCCCCGGTGGTGCTGGAGTCTGTAGCTGTGGACAGTGGGAACTCTGATCAGGTTGAGAGGTGCGTGGTCGCCCCAAGGTGTATCCACCTGTTGCGTGTGCTTGGCTGCTGGCCAGGTGGTTCTGGAGTCTAATTCGGGTCAATCATGCATGCCTCTGCCTCCACTCCCTGTGTGCAAATGTATCGTCTCTCGCACCGCATGAAGTGTTTTCTGTCCATGTCACCTTTTCCCATAAATGGGGTAAGAGCTGCTGCTGCCTCTGGCCGTATGTGAGCTGTTTCTTTTTTGCTTACACACTTCTGTGTAGCTTCTTGTAGCATGCACCTGCAGCATCAGATTTCTCTTCACATCGCAAATCTCCCTCACAGCGTGTGCGCCGCTGCTGCCACTGGCCGTGTGGCACAGGTGCTTACTGTTTGGACATTGCAGTGTTGCATGCCCATGCACTCTTTGTATCCTGCCTGTCCTGCGTTTCTCCCCCTCACAGTGTGTGCGCCGCTGCTTCTGCTGGCCATGTGGACCAGTTGAACGAGCTGCTCTCAGCTGCCCCTTCCCTCGCCCACTGCAGTGACTACAATGGCCGCACCCCCCTGGTATTCACTCACTCCCATCGTTAGTCAACAACAACTACCAATCTAACTCCAGACCCTTTTTTTGTTTACCCTGTTGTCCTCCTTCTATAGACTAGTTGATTCTTCCTGCTGCGATGTTTTTTCAGGCTTCATCCACCTTTTATCTCGCCACGCCTGAGTTTCCTACTTAGCTAACTTCTGGATTTACAATTTGGTGGATTGGCTTTCAAACCTACGCACAGCGTGACTCAGTCTATTACCTTCCATAACCTCGTCAATGCCCGGTTTTCCTGTCTCTCGTGAGTGCAGCATGTGGCAGCCGCCCATGGCCATGTCAGCTGCATCAACGCCATTCTGCAGCGCAATGGCGTCGATGTGAATGCACTTGGTGGGTGTTCCAACAAACTGAATGTTCCCCTACTGTGTATTAGCTTCCTCTTGCACATACATAGTCACTTCCATGTTCACACGCAACGGCGTCGATGTGAGTGAACGCCATTCTTTGGTGAGTCTTCTATAAGCCAATCTGTGTTCAACTAAGAGGTCCCATCTGGAGTGTGTCTGCCATCTGCCTGTCGCTCAGGGATCGCCGCTTCCATCCGCCAATGAGGCACATCGCTGTATCCCTATTCCCATGACTATTCAGATGGCATTGCTTCAATCCATCTCCCAGTAACAGTGAGACATGAACATCCATCCTCTGTGCCCCCCTCTCCCTCTCCCTCTTCTTATCCTCTGCAGATCGCAATGGCGCCACCCCTGTCCTCGAGGCAGTGAAGAACGGTCAGAGCAAGGCAGCAGAGGCACTGCAGGCAGCAGGAGCTGCTCTCCTCCTCAAGGACCCGGGGGCCACCCTCTGCCGCCTTGCTGCATCCGCAGCTACAGAGGCCAGCAGCAGCAAGAGCGGTGGCAGCAACGTGCAGTATTTGGAGCGGCTCCTGGCGGCAGGAGCAGACGTGAATGCGCAGGACCATGCCGGTTGCACTGCTCTGCACGTTGCATGTGCCAACAGCAGCGTCGCTGTTGCCAAGGTAAACCTTTCTGCTCTTTCTGCACATTGCCTGTGCCAACAGCAGCATCGCTGTAAAAAACAAAGCAGTGCCCTTCCTCTAAATCTTTGCTTGCCAACTTGTTCAAGAAGCATTATCGTGAGGGGATCTCTTAGATGATTTCCTCCCCTCCCCATCCTTCCCTCCCTTCACCTCCCGTCAACCCTTCAGCTGCTCATGGCAAATGGTGCAAACCCCCATCTGGAGGACATGAGTGGCAACACTGCATATGATCTCGCCAGCTCTGCAGGCTCCCCTGACCTGCTGAGCGTGCTCGAGAACTGACTTCTTTCCCGCTGGCACCACGCTTGTTTGCCTTAGTGGGAGTGTGTACTGAGCAGAGCACTGGTTAAAAGTGTGAAGTGCACTGTGCACCAGACAAGGCCAATGGCATTCTGAGCAATCTATAGTGCTGTAGCCTGTAGCATGGGTGGTTACTGGACTTGACCTCTGTTTCTCTAAAGTGTTGTGTTGTGTGTGTAGCCCTTCCCTTTCCCATTCATTTTGAGTTGTGCCTGCTAAAATGTTTAGGGTTGGAGTTGACCACCCGTGCTACAGTGCTGGTCATGAACCGTACTTGGCTGGCTATATCAGCCAAGAGAAGATGACAGATACAGTACTTGGCTGGTCATGAACGTACCGTATGATACCGGTATTGTGCAGTGCAATGGCATGTTATGACTCATGTCATGAGGTGACTGTTCTTCGCTGCAAAACCAGGCAAGTAATAAGAGAGAATGGAATCATTGCAACGGGGGAAGCTTGGCCAACTACGGTAGGTTTGATTGATACAGTAAATCCAATGTACTGTATATGACATCAGTGGCTCAATGTGGGTATGTGGGTATGTGTTTATCTCCAAGAATCATTACAGCTCAATGTTTTCAAGGATTTCACCGCACTACTCCGTCCTAGGGTCAACCAGTCGCAGGAGTGTACCCTCCACTGACACTCCAGGGCCAAAGGCCAGCGCTAGCGTCCACTTGTCACCCTCCTTTTGGCGGTTATCACGTCGCACTTTATCTAGTACAAACATGATGGTGCATGATGCCATGTTAGCATACTCCCGCAGAATATCCCTGAAAAAGCACATCACACCAACATTTGGTGGCGCAGCGTAAGCCATGAGAAAGTTCATGCAAAAGCTCTGAGTGTTGAAAAACAATTCCTAACACACGCACCTGCTGACTTGGACCTGCTTGGACTTGAGCCCGCACCCCCGCTGAGTCATGTCCACAATGGACTTGCCGCCCGGGTGCACGGCCCACAGCATGTCACTGTAGCTCAGGTTGCCAACCAGGCTGCGCACAAAGGGGTTCACGTTGTTCCCCACCAGCTGAGTTGGGGAAATCAAGAACCAGTGGGCAGAGCATGGGGTGTTAGGGCATGGGGTGGGGTGTTAGAGCATGGGGTAGGGTGTTAGAGCATGGGGTGGGGTGTTAGAGCATGGAGTGGGGTGTTAGAGCATGGGGTGTTAGAGCATGGGATGGGGTGTTAGAGCATGGGGTGGGGTGTTAGAGCATGGGGTGGGGTGTTAGAGCATGGGATGGGGTGTTAGAGCATGGGGTGTTAGAGCATGGGGTGGGGTGTTGGAGCATGGGGTGGGGTGTTAGAGCATGGGGTGGGGTGTTAGAGCATGGGGTGTTAGAGCATGGGATGGGGTGTTAGAGCATGGGATGGGGTGTTAGAGCATGGGATGGGGTGTTAGAGCATGGGGTGGGGTGTTAGAGCATGGGGTGGGGTGTTAGAGCATGGGTTGTTAGAACCAGCGAAGGCAAACCACGCAAACCATTCTAGAAGCACAAAATGAGCGAGCTTCGGTGTTGATTGAGGCCCTACCTCAAAGTGCAGGGCCTACCTCGGGGAGGTTCTTCTTGAGCCCCACGTCGAGCCCATGGCACACCACGTTGGCTGTGATCACATCCTCGCTGTCCGGGATGTACGTGGTGCCGTGCCTGTGCACCTCAAACACCGCCTTCTCGCCCTCTCGAGGCTTCGCACCCAGGATGAACGCTGAGGGTTAAAGGAAGAGAGAGACAAAAAAAAAAAGGACGGGGAAAAACAAAGTGGAGGGAGGGAGGGAGGGAGGGGATGGGAGTGAAGGGAGGCAGGAGAGGTGGATTTCCAGTGGTCACGTTCGAAAAAAAAAAAAAAAAAAAGCTCGCATACAGACTGCACTGATGATGTGGTTGTGTCCTGACAAAGGTGCTTCTGTCAGACTCACCGCCAGCGCCGTCAGCAAAGATGCAGTCGACGATGATGTTGTTGATGAGGTTGTCTGGATTGAGCGACTGAGCGTTGACCGAGTTGACCTCCACCGCCACCACGAGCACGCGGTGCGACGGGTCCCCTGCAGCGATCTCAGCAGCAGTGCGCAGCCCGATGACGCCTGCATGGCACCCCATGTAGCTCACGTACAGGTGCTTCGTGGACTGGGGGAGTCCCATCTGCTTGATCAGACACATGTCCAGGCCTGATTGGCGAACAAAGTGAGGGTATAGAAAGGAGAAGAGAGGGGAGTGAATGGGCTGCGAAACAACTTTGTAATCCGAAACAGGGATAGTCAAGAGTACACAAGACATTGAAGAAGAATGGGAGTGTTCTCCTAGGAAAAGATGATGATTTTCAAGGGAAAACGGAGGACAAAAAAAAAAAAAAAAAAAAAAAAAAAAAAAAGGTGTACCAGGGCAGTGAATGCCGGAGGTGGAGAAGGTGATGACGTGCGTGATGTCCTTGCAGTCCCCTCCCCAGTCGCTGATGGCCCTCTCACTGGCCGCCTTGCCCAGGGCAACAGCGGGCTCGAGCCAGAGCTTGAGCCGCGTGTCCAGGGAGGGCGAGCCAAAGGCGGCGATGGAGTCGTAGGTGTTGAAGATATCGCTGTCGTGCACCAGGTGGCGCGTCTTGATGCCGCAGTTCTCAACTGGTTGTTAAAAGGGAAGGAGAAACAGTAAAAAATATATATATATATATATATATATATATATATATATATTAGTAAAAGGAAAATGATACTCGTGTTGAAAGCCTTTGTTTTGGACGAGACAAACAAGAAAGAAACAGGCTGGAATCCTGAGATCCCCAAGCCCCACTCACTGATTCGCTTGGACAGGTCCTCGGTCTTCTTATCCGGGAACGGCAGCGTTGTGACAAACTTCTCATGAAATTCCGCTTGTGTGACCTTCCTGTCCGGGTTGGCCGTCCCAATGCCCAGGATATGCGCTAGTCCTGACGCATCTCCCCCCACAGGCACCGCGGGGCCAGAGTTGGTCTCGTTAACATTGAGGCTGGAGACGAAGGCGGAGACAGCGCTGACGTCCTCGTTAGAAGGAGCAGCGTTAGTGAGCACCACAGGCGTGTCCATGTCGAGAAGGCCGGCCATGGTGAGGAGAGAGAGCTACGAAACGAGAGGGAAAATGAGAGTCTGGGAGCTAGTGTGCGTAAACCGGGTCCTTGAGACCTCGCGGTATGAACGGGGCGAGGAAGTGTGAGAATTAAGGCGACGAGTGGTGGTTTAAGAGCAGGCGCCAAGGGCTGAATTTACACAAGTGCTGGGATTTGGTGGAGCGAAGGAGAGTGAAGCAGAAAGCAGAAGCGCAGTCTGAGAGCAGGAGTACTGATTGAGAGTAGGAACTCAGACTAGAAAGCCTGAGAGATGGGAAGGTTGGAGTGTGATTACTACCCCAACAGCCATCCTTCTTATAGGAAATATGCGTGATGCATTGCATTGATCAAGCGGGAAAGCCGCTTCGATACTGACGTTAGACTGTTCCTAGGGAGCCTCCTCAGGCATCATGCCACGTCAATGCCGTGCGATGCCTATGCCATGCCGTGACATGACATGACATGACATGAGATCCTAGTCATTACTGGTAGCCCGATGGTCAAGACATTAGACCAGCCCTTAGCATGGTAGGGGGACGACTAAGGAATTTCGTGTGTGACCAGTTCAAGGCCTGGGTGCGTCGCACGGGTCGCGGCTCGTCCGCGAACAGTCGAGTCATCGGCACGATGCTACGCGCGTCTGCCTGCGACACCTCCAGCGCGTGCTTGCGTGCGACGCTGGGCGACAGCGTTCGCGAAAAAAATAACGCGTTCCCGAGGAGCTGTCCCGTCATCCGGAGAGTCGCGACGCGATACAAATCGGTACGAAACATCAGCAGTCACTTCACTTATTGGGAAGGCCTTGGACCCAGGAACGATATTCGCGACTGCGGTTGACGAAACCGAGGCGGCGTGGTGGGGAGGAAGGATCCGTTTTATCAAATTATTTTGATCGTACAAAATGTCGTTATCGCGTCGTGCTAGCCGGTTTTCGTGACGGTATTGGAAGGATCGGAATGATTAGTCACGTGATGAGGTCAGCCATGGCTCAGCCAAGCAGCTGTTGCTGCGTTCTATGTCGTCACTGCTGTCACTTCTGTCACCACTGTCCTTGCTGTCATGCAGGGAGTCATATATTCGGTTAACGCCAAGAAAAGGTAATAAGGAAAGCACTTAGGGTTACCGAGCATGTGGTGCGTGTGTCTTGACGCGACGCGACACAGAAGTCATGACGACAAGTACGGATTGGTGGATCGAGATTCGAGGCGATCAAATGTCCTGTCAAAATCAAGACTAGGGGAATAACAGACGGCATAGGATCGGTTGAGAGTTATGACCGTCGTGCGTCGCTGTCAAAAAGGGCTTTCCAAGGCGGAGACTCTTAGCTGACGCTACGAAACTATGGATCTATGGAGAACAGTCGCATCTGTCGGCAATGTCCATGGCTGCTCACTCACCTCCACCATTTCTGACGCTTTTATGCCAATCTCGATGTTTCTGAACTGAATGTGACCCTTGGCTGACCATCCAATCTGGTTCAGTGCGCTGTCGCACGGTAAGGTGCCACCACGTAACAAAGCAAAATACTGGTGCGAACCCATGCGACATCCCTTGAGCAGAATATGCACGTTTCCTGAGAGAGGTTCGGGAACACTCTGAAGCATGAATAGAATCTCTCTAGAAAGCTCTGTGCCGTGCCCGATCTCCTCAAAACCCAGTGAAAGAAGCCTGCCTTGAAATGGCCAGCCGAACCTCCTTGGCGGCCCGCCAGATTTCTTGCAGAAAGTCGAACTCCCGCACCGCACCACCCACCAAACCTGGAGTACTCCTTTCTGACATGCTGGGACGTTGATCACAAACCTGTGTGTGTGGTGTGGAGTCGCTTTACAAAACTGTCTGCCCCCAGCGAAAAGCGTTTCCTCGGCAGCCCCACAAGGTCATGGTGGCCGTTCCTCATCCCACACAGCCTACGACCAATCATTTCCCGTTTCAGTAACAAAAAATTCGCAGCTCCTCGTGTAGCCGGTGGATCAGAGAATGCAAGACCGCATTACGAAGTGGGAAACGGGAAGAGGTGGTAGAGTTCTGTCTTGGCGGTTCAGAGAGAAATACTGCGTTTCAAAACGATCAAAAGTTAAAAAACAATGGTGATGTGGGGTATTCAGGGATAGAGTTAGGGCTCGGGCGAAATTATCCAAGCAGTTTCGCCGCATTTGAGTTTTTGGTAACCACTTTCTCCTGTCACACAGACCAAATCTAGATGTTTCCATGGCTTCCACTCTGCTTGTCGTAGCTCTCACATAGGCCTTGCTGTGACGACTGCCAGGTACGGATCTTTGCTGACGAGCATAATAGTGGATTAGAGTGCGTCCGTCGGCCCCGTTGGAGCTTTCAGTCTTTATTGTCGGATCGGCACGTTTCCCCAGAATTCTTTGCGTTCTGTCAGAATGTACGTGCAAGAAGTGCGATCGCAGCCTCGTCATCGAGGAACGAGCGAAATAACTCCTGAAGATGACGCGGACAGCATACCTACCACGTCAGCTCACCCCGCAAGTAACGCGACGGCGGTGAACGATGAGGACGACCGGGACGAGAACGGGGTTGGTTCGGGCGACATTGCTCTTGACATGAAAATGAAGCCAACGCCGCCGCGGAAACGGAGTAAACTAGAGTCGGCAGCATGGCTGCTTGCTTGCGTCGCGATTCTAGTATTCGGCGACGGCAAGCGGCATTTCTTCCAGGCGGTGCTCAAGGACCCTCGCGTGCACAAGTAAGCCGACACCTTCTCGTCCTTGTTCGTTGTGACAGTATGACCAGGTACTCCGATACGAGTCAAGAATTCATCTTCTTTCAGGCAGGGCATCCTAAAGCGGCCTCTGAATGATTCGGGCTTGAAAAGATTACCATTCCGTCACCACGATTTGCTAAACCCGACCCAAATGCCTGGTGGTCTGTACAAACACACGTGCTGTAAATGCAAGAATTACAATCAAACCCTTGACCTAAAGATTGTTTCCTCACTCTGTCTCGTTCCCTCGTTTTGTTGTCTTAACTATTCCTGAACTTTAAAGTCTCTGATATCCTTCAACCTGTAACCTCTCCAATTTTCTCCACCCCCTTCACCTTCTGTCCATACCCTTCCGGTTTCAAGCAGGTTACCATCACAATGTTCTCAAATATGTACGTCCTCTACTTTCCTTCCCCTCCACTCCCATTCACCCCATCCTCCACAATTCAGGCAACAATTCTTTGTGGCGTGTGTGTGCATCATCGTCAACGTGGCCGTCTGGCTCTACCTCACTGTCCTCATCCGCCTCGTGCTAAAAAATACCCGTCACTTTGAGCTTGCTGCTCCTGGAGCCAATGCAACCACAACATTGCTTAGCTTCATGTCCTTCATACTGTAAGTACTACCTCTACTTTTGAAGAGCCCCTTTCACGATACCATCTAGGATTTGTAGTCCAGTAGGAGTGGTGGAGCTTTTGACGCCTGGCTGCCAAAGATGCTTTAGTGTGCACTGTTGCAGTCAGTTGGCCGCTTGCTTTGTGGTGAACCACATTTCATGTAAACTGGTACGTAAGGAGTTCTCATATTTTTTATCCATTTCCAATGCTGGTTCATTCTAGTCTTGTCATCAAGGCATCTAGTCGGGCGAGAGGTGGGAAAGGAGTTTGCTTTCCTGAGGCACATTTATCTGTTCCCTTGTGACCTCCCTTCCACAGATTTGCGATTGCATTATGGCCAGTCTTTGGCTTCTTCATCATCCCTATCCTGGTACGTGCTTCTACCCTCTCAGGTGCTTTTCCACCCGGTCATACATTCATCTGCATTTCAATTTTGCTACAGGCTATTGGCAAGATAGCCCATTATAGAGTCATGTTCTTTTTGTTGCTTCTTTGACTCCTTTGTGTTGCTTCTTTGACTCCCCTCGGATGTTCCACTACCTCAAGGTTGTTCCATGTCGTTGTCCATATTTCTCAAACCCCCTCCTGCACTTCTGTTGTTTCCTGACATCCAGTGGGTATTCTTCATGACCTTAGTGGTCATTCTTTCAACCATTCCTCCCTACTCCCCGAAGTCTGCTGAAGACATGGAATAGCTGGAGGATGCCACACCTGGGGGAAACACCCAGTGAAAGTTTTTTTTTAGCTCTGAACAACTGTGGTGTGGACCAGTGTCATGTCATTTCTTATACCCACGTGACCAAGAACTGTATTCATTACAATATCAGCTCGCTAACACACATAGTAGTTGCACTTCCCAATCAACACAACTGCAATGTGATGATATCCGTGAATTCTTGATACAACCTGTGACCTATCTATCCTCCATGGACGACCCGAGATCTGCATGGAACGATTATGGTGAGAAAGCAATAATGGTGAAAGGAGAAGAATTAGATGACAGACACGAAGGCACAAGAAAATAAAACTAGCTCTGCACGTGGGCCCTTGCAGAAGACACTAAAAAAGACAGGTATCAGTAGCTTGGCCCCATCAACACGCACTTGACCCTTCAAGCAAGGAACGTTCGCGTGAGCCCAGACAGTCCTGGGGGACGGATGTTTCCCAAAATCTTATGAACGGTATCCCGTCGTACCTTGATCACATGGACATGGAGAGAGAGCAGGGCGACGGATATTTAAACAACGAATGAGTTTTCCCCATTGTTTGTAAACGGTATGCCGTCATACCTTGATTACGATCCGACGATAATGTTGTTGATGGGGATGAAAATTAGTTTCACAAAGAAGCCGATGAATCCCATGACCACGAACCCAATGGCTGTCCTGGATGCAACTTTCGTGAATTCTGCACGTCATAGACCATAGGAAAATAAGAATGATGAAATTTGAGCCCTGATAAAGAGCAAGGAAGCTGAACGAAGACGCTCAGTTAGGAATAGCCGAAACGTAACAAAGTAGGTCACAAGGAACCTATCTGTGGAGGGAGGAATGACACGATTGCGAGAAATGACGGCGCGGAAGGGGATTGCGAAGTTAATCCGATGTCAGGGCAAAACACGTGAACGGACCTTTCCGATCTGGTTTATGACACCGCTTCACTAGTCTGATGCTGTCCTTGGCGAAGTCCTGCACCGGCTTGACGACGTACTCAACAGCCTCCATTCTCCAAATTTAAAAAAGATCTGAAAAAATAAACCAAATTACGATCTTGTGATGGTGGCTATGCCGACGAGGTTCGTGAAAGTAGCTCGGGGTATGGCTGTTGCAACTAGGTATCTAGAGATCTGTAAGAGGAACTGTGCGAATGGCAGTTAGAAACAGGAGAGATTTGCGCAGGCAGGTTGAAGGAACTTCCTTCCGAGATCTCCGTCCGTCGGGTCGGGTTGAATAACTCGTTGCAAGTACTCTCTGTGAATTTCCTCGGTAACAAAGTAAGCTCAAGGATTTTCAGAGAAATTTTCCTCACGAGAAAAAAATACAACTCTCAATACATCATTAATTTTGTGAAACAACAACTCCTCTTTTTGCATTTTAACTTCCTGTCAATTACGGGCTCTTTGCTCAGGTGCTCATTTGAAGGCTTGGATTGGATTGGAATGGAATGGACCAGAAACACGCCTTTGTCCAATGCACAATCTCCTACACGAACCAATTGGATTTCTCTAAAAAGCTTCAGGGCATGGTCATTAGGGTGCACACAATACGGTACTAACAGGGCCTCAGATTCCAGGAATTTTACCCTGATTTCCTGATGTTTGACCCCGGTTTTTTATTGTAACCCTGATGAATCAGCCTTTTTGTTTTTACAACCCTGATGAATCAGTGTTTTTCTTTTCCTAATCCTGATTTTCCAGTGTTTCTAGTTTGTCGACACTGACGGGTCAGTGTTGTATCGGAGACGACCCTGAAACCGAAAACTCCGTGATTCTCGCAGTTTTGCGCGCCGTCATCATGCATGAACCCACCCTGCACCGACGCCACCCTGCGGCGCGCCCAGATACAGTTGAACGGGTTAATTTCGGGCTGTGTTGGCAAAACGGCGTAAAGAGATTGGCTGTCCCAGCTGAAGCAATGTACCGTTGTCACGTTGGATAACCTACACTTGTCATTACTTTCCATTGATGTGCACAAACAACCAAGCCTAGTGGCCCAGTGGGCCAGTGGTCTGCCTTGTTCTTTCCACCAAGGCAGGGCGTGCTGGGGCGGCCCGCTCAGGCACCCCACGCAGGGGGTCTCGTGATTCTGCCATTCCAGCTCTCCAGACTCCATCCCTTTCCGAAACATCAATCTCTGCAGTCTCCCTGAAGCCTGCTCGGCAGGCTCTCTCTCTCCCAGGGTTTCTCGTTACTACTCACCGATTCAGGAAGGTGACGTGAACGCGCCATGGCGATCACCGGTGAGAACAGCTGCGGTGATGATGACGACGATGCACTTTACGCCGCCACCGAGATGCTGGAGGCCAGAACGGGACTAGATTTTCTAGTTTCCACGCTCTCCCATGAAAAAGAGAAGCCAGGTCCCGTCGCCTCAGTAGCAAACACTGGTGAAGCGTCTGGCCTCTGCCGCGGAGACGATCGTCCCCAGCCCGCGCATACTGCTAAGCCGGCCGTGCCGTCAGCAGCCGGACCGAGCGTCCGCTTGCCATCTCGTGCGTCGTCGTCGAAGCCTCCGCCTCGTTACAAGCAGGCCGTGCTCCGTTGGGCCGATCCTACAGATCCTGGACGTCCTCTCGCTGATGCCGGCGAGTCGGTAAACCACGTTACGCCCACGCCATCTAACTCTAAAAAACCGTCACTAACCACTCTGATTTACGAAGAGGCCCTTGAAACGTTCAAGTCGACGTGGTCGACCGACTACCCATGGCTCATCCTCATAAAAAACACTGCTGGCATGCCTGCGTTCAAGTGCAGATTGTGCATCGACTTGGCAGGTGACGGTGGCAAGTGTGGCAAGAGTGGGCACGGTGCAACCGATCTTCAGACCCAAGCCTTCAAGCGGCATGCCGCGACGAACAAGCACCAGTTGGCCATCAATCACCAGAAGCAGATGCTAGCTCAGGCTGGGATGCGCGGCTGTCGGACCTCATGTGCATGGCATTGCTGCCGTACGAGCCCGACTGGGCGGAGGTGGTGAAGATCTGGAGGGCGTACAAGAAGCGCAAGCCCATCACAACAGTGGCAGCACCAAAGAAGCAACCTAGTGCTAAGGGGAAAGAGAAGGTGGACGAGGATGATGCTGGTGGTGCTGGCTCTGGGTGGGGGACAGAGACCCCCGTGCATTGGCACGGTTCTATGAGCGATGGTGGTGGTAGTGACGAAGATGAAGACATGTGTGTGATGTGAATTGTGTGTGCGGTGTGAGCGCCAAGTGGTCTGTGCCTGTAGTTAGATTAGAAGCTCATTAGAACCATATTTGAACTTTTCTTAACTTATTATACTTGTGATACCGGTAGTTGTTGTGGATTCTCACCGCCAGTGTTTTTTTAAAGCTCACGCTGATGTGTCAGGGTCTTTTTTTTTCTAACCCTGAGAAATCAGTGTTTCTCCATTTACAACCCTGATGATCAGTGTTACAGCCCCAAAGGACCCTGAGTGCTCAGGGTCACCCAAAACGAATCTGAGGCCCTGGGTACTAGCCCAGCCAAAACTGATAAACAAAATTGACAGAAGCATATCCAGGAGTGGTACTGGTGAATCCATAGCTTTTTAATTAGCATTCAATCTTAAGCTTTTGCTACAACAGGCTCCTCAGCGTATTTGAGAGCACGAGTCGTTTCAAAGAAGTGCAAGACGCTCTCCTCTGGTGTCCCCACCAACACGCCGTGGCCCAGGTTGAGAATGTGGCCGCGCGGACCCGCCTTGGCAACACAGCTGTGGGAGAGAGTGAATGAGAACGAGGGTAGGGGGGGTATGAAGGGTGGAAAGAAATACGGCAAATCGTTATCGGTAGAATAAAGAACAGAGCATGTCCCCACCACCACGTCATGGCCCAGGTTGAGAATGTGGCCCTGTGGACCTACCGGTACCTTGCCCTCACACTGTGAGGAACTGAGTTAATGACAAGAAGGGTATGGGGGGTACGAGGGGTGGGAAGGAAGACAGCAAAAACAGATGCACTTCCAGTATACATTTGTTGCAGCAAGTTTCCCACCAATGGATTGTACCTGTCGTGGCATCCTTGGAGGCCAAGAGCACAGCTGGGTCCACATTCCCTTGCACAGACAGCACTCACAATATGCAGCTCGTGATGCCATAGCAATCACACTCACCGGTGAATAGCATCAGTGACGGCGTCCTTGGAGGCGAACAGCACAGCAGGGTCCACATTGCCCTGCACCGACAGCCTCGGCTTCGCACTCCCTCCGGGGCTCGCCCCCAGAGCGCCGTCGATCCGTGCCCGTGCATCGGCCATGTCAATGGTCCAGTCAACACCGATGACAATCACACAACACCCAAGATCACTCACCGATTGATGGCATCAGTGACAGCATCCTTGGAGGCGAACAGAACAGCAGGGTCCACATTCCCCTGCACCGACAGCCTCAGCTTCGCACTCCCCCCGGAACTCGCCCTCAGAGCGCCGTTAATCCTCGCCCGTGCATCGGCCATGTCGATGGTCCATTCCACTTCGATGACGTCAGCCCCAGTGGTGGCTATGCACCGACAGCACCCACTGTATATCACTCGTGGTTACAGCGAATCACTCACCGGTGGATGGCATCAGTAACGGCATCCTTGGAGGCGAACAGCACAGCAGGGTCCACGTTGCCCTGCACCGACAGCACTCACAGAAAACCTTTGCTATATGCCAGTTAGTTACAGCAAGTTACTCACCGGTGGATGGCGTCAGTAACGGCATCCTTGGAAGCAAACAGCACGGCAGGGTCCACGTTGCCCTGCACCGACAGCCTCGGCTTCGCACTCCCCCCAGGGCTCGCCCTCAGAGCACCATCGATCCTCGCCCGTGCATCGGCCATGTCAATGGTCCAGTCAACACCGATGACGTCAGCCCCAGTGGTGGCCATGCGCTCCATGAGACCCCCGCTGCCATTGGCGTACAGCACGACTGGCACCGTGGGGTGCTTCGCCTTCAGCTGGGAGATAACCTGGGGGATGCAGTGAAGGGAAGGATGCACAGGGACGTTCAAAGAATGAAACCCAGTGGTGGCCATGCGCTCCATGAGACCCCCGCTGCCATTGGCATAGAGCAGATAGGCACCATGGGGTGCTTTGCCTTAAGCTGGGAGATAACCTGGGGAATGGGGGACGATGATAAGGGAGGGGTGCAACAGGGGTTCTAAGGGTGAGCCCCGGTGGTGGCCATGCGCTCCATGAGACCCCCGCTGTCATTGGCGTACAGCACGACTGGGACTGTGGGTTCTGCTTCAGCTGGGAAATGACCTGGGGGGTGTAGCAAGGGGTGCACCGGGAACTCTCAAGGGGGTGTTTGTGCTCAAGTTTGTGCTGAAGTTTGAGCACAAATAGCACATAGCACAGCTGTCGAGCGCTCACCTGAATGATGTACGGCTTGGCCCACTCGTCCCACAAGTCAGGGGGGACAGCATTACGAATGGCACAATATTTCTCATATAGTGAACTGCACAGTGGGCTTGAGGGCTCACTTGAATGATGTACGGCTTGGCCCATTCGACCCACTGGTCGGGCGGCGAAATCACACACGGCACGGTTCGCCCCACATAGCACACTAGTTCACCTGAATGATGTACGGCTCGACCCACTCGTCCCACGGGTCGGGCGGCAGCATTACGAATGGCACAATATTTCTCATATAGTGAACTGCACAGTGGGCTTGAGCGCTCACCTGGATGATGTACGGCTTGGCCCACTCGTCCCACTGGTCGGGCGGCAGCTGGCCGCCCCACAAGTCAAACACCTGGATGCACTGCAACTGGGTGACCTGATGGTAGGTATAGGCGCCTTTGCTCCACACTGAACGGGGCTAGGCTCTCACCTCGAATACATATGGATTGGCCCACTCGTCTCACTGGTCGGTGACAGCTTCAAGCACTGCACGGATATTCCTCCCACAGAAGACCAGTTAAGCGCTCACCTGAATGAGGCTTGGCCCACTCGACCCACTGGTCGGAGATAGCAGCTCTAAGAACGGCACTGGTTTACCTCATAGAGCACAGCAGTCGAGCTCTTTCTCACCTGGATGATGTACGGCTTGGCCCATTCGTCCCACTGGTCGGGCGGCAGCTGGCCGCCCCACGAGTCAAAGACCTGGATGCACTGCGCGCCGGCGTCCACTTGGAACGCGGCATATGTTGCGATCTCATTGGCCAGGTGCTGCAGGATCGCGCGCAGCACGTCCGGCGCGCTGTGGATCATGCCCTTGATCTTGGTGTACGTGCGCGTGGTGCCGCCCTCCACACAGTACGTCGCCAGCGTCCACGGCGCCCCCACAAAGCCCAGGAGAGCGGCCGTGCCCTCGATCTGCCAGAAGAGGGGGCAGGAGGAAGGGGAAAGAGGGAAGGCGAAAGGAACGAAGGCACGTCAGGCGCGGGGAAGAAGGGTTGGGGGAATGGGGGAAGGGGGGAGGCTGGGAAGGGGGGGAGGGGGGAGAGGGGAAGGAGGGACAGCGGGGAGGGGAAGGAATGGAACAGAGGCACGTGTGGCGCGCTCTGATTCATGGCGTTGACCTCACGTAGTTTCCCCCCACTCACACCGCCCCCATCTCCCCCTCTCCCCTCCCTTGTCCGCTTTTTCATATACCAACGCATATGCTTCCCAAATTGCCGCAGTGACTCATATACAGAGGGCAGCTTTTCCAGCTGCATGGCTACCACCGCCTTGAGACCCTCGCAACTTTTCCCCTGCCCCCACCCTACCCCTCTCCCCTCCCCCTTCCCACACTACCCGCCCCCGTCCCCACCCTACCGCTCTTCCTTCCCCTCCCCCATCCTACCGACAACTCCCGACGCTATCTCCCCTTCCGACGCTACCCTCCCCTCTCCCAGTTCCCCCTCAACGTTCCCTCCCACGCACCTCTTTCCGAATCTGCCTCAGCGACTCATCAACGAAGTGCAGCTTGTCCAGCTGAACCGGCGTCAACGCCTTGAGATCCTCCGTCGTCCTAATGGGGCTGTCTATAATGGGGCCCTTGTTCTCGTCGATCTCGAACGGAATACCCATCGCATCCAACGGCGTCAGAATGTCCGAGAACAGGATCACGCCGTCGGGCTTGAACGCGCGCCACGGCTGCAGGGTGATTTCGACGATTAGATCCGTCGTCTCGGAACGTTCGCGGAAAGAGGGGTGGTTCTTGGAGAGCTTCTGGTACGCGGCCATGTAGCGGCCCGCTTGGCGCATCATCCAGGCGGGGGGGCGCGGAATGGCCTCTCCGCGCGCGGCGCGCACCAGCAGGGGCTCGTCCGCTGGAAGGGGAAAAGGGATGGAGGGGATACGTTGTGATGCCATAAGGAAAGTCCCTGATCCAGGAGTCAGGCACACGCGGGGGACGCAGAATGGATTTTCCACGGCCGCCCACGCTAGTGTCTATCACGGATCGACCAAGGTGAATGTTGGAATTCATAAGTTTCCTGTACCTCGTGCGCTAGACACATTGCAGCAAGTATTTTTTGCGTTGTGGAAGAAGCAAGACACATCAACACCTGCGAGGCATTGCAAGAGGCATTGTCGGGTCTGGGTTGACTTCAGGAAATCAGTTGGAAGGCACAAATATCAGCGTCGCTTACCTGACGCCCTGGGCTGCACGGCCCGCCTCTGCGAAGCATTGCAGGAGACGGATTGGGTCGTGAGGGTTCGGCAGGCAGCGCCGTGGAGCTCGGAGCCTGCGAAGGACACGGCGGGTTGACTATCATTGACTATCAGCGTCGCTTACCTGACGCCCTGGGCTGCACGGCCTGCCTCTGCGAAGCATTGCAGGAGACGGATTGGGTCGTGAGGGTTCGGCAGGCAGCGCCGTGGAGCTCGGAGCCTGCGAAGGACACGGCGGGTTGACTATCATTGACTATCAGCGTCGCTTACCTGACGCCCTGGGCTGCACGGCCTGCCTCTGCGAAGCATTGCAGGAGACGGATTGGGTCGTGAGGGTTCGGCAGGCAGCGCCGTGGAGCTCGGAGCCTGCGAAGGACACGGCGGGTTGACTATCATTGACTATCAGCGTCGCTTACCTGACGCCCTGGGCTGCACGGCCCGCCTCTGCGAAGCATTGCAGGAGACGGATTGGGTCGTGAGGGTTCGGCAGGCAGCGCCGTGGAGCTCGGAGCCTGCGAAGGACACGGCGGGTTGACTATCATTGACTATCAGCGTCGCTTACCTGACGCCCTGGGCTGCACGGCCTGCCTCTGCGAAGCATTGCAGGAGACGGATTGGGTCGTGAGGGTTCGGCAGGCAGCGCCGTGGAGCTCGGAGCCTGCGAAGGACACGGCGGGTTGACTATCATTGACTATCAGCGTCGCTTACCTGACGCCCTGGGCTGCACGGCCTGCCTCTGCGAAGCATTGCAGGAGACGGATTGGGTCGTGAGGGTTCGGCAGGCAGCGCCGTGGAGCTCGGAGCCTGCGAAGGACACGGCGGGTTGACTATCATTGACTATCAGCGTCGCTTACCTGACGCCCTGGGCTGCACGGCCTGCCTCTGCGAAGCATTGCAGGAGACGGATTGGGTCGTGAGGGTTTGGCAGGCAGCGCCGTGGAGCTCGGAGCCTGCGAAGGACACGGCGGGTTGACTATCATTGACTATCAGCGTCGCTTACCTGACGCCCTGGGCTGCACGGCCTGCCTCTGCGAAGCATTGCAGGAGACGGATTGGGTCGTGAGGGTTCGGCAGGCAGCGCCGTGGAGCTCGGAGCCTGCGAAGGACACGGCGGGTTGACTATCATTGACTATCAGCGTCGATTACCTGACGCCCTGGGCTGCACGGCCCGCCTCTGCGAAGCATTGCAGGAGACGGATTGGGTCGTGAGGGTTCGGCAGGCAGCGCCGTGGAGCTCGGAGCCTGCGAAGGACACGGCGGGTTGACTATCATTGACTATCAGCGTCGCTTACCTGACGCCCTGGGCTGCACGGCCTGCCTCTGCGAAGCATTGCAGGAGACGGATTGGGTCGTGAGGGTTCGGCAGGCAGCGCCGTGGAGCTCGGAGCCTGCGAAGGACACGGCGGGTTGACTATCATTGACTATCAGCGTCGCTTACCTGACGCCCTGGGCTGCACGGCCTGCCTCTGCGAAGCATTGCAGGAGACGGATTGGGTCGTGAGGGTTCGGCAGGCAGCGCCGTGGAGCTCGGAGCCTGCGAAGGACACGGCGGGTTGACTATCATTGACTATCAGCGTCGCTTACCTGACGCCCTGGGCTGCACGGCCTGCCTCTGCGAAGCATTGCAGGAGACGGATTGGGTCGTGAGGGTTCGGCAGGCAGCGCCGTGGAGCTCGGAGCCTGCGAAGGACACGGCGGGTTGACTATCATTGACTATCAGCGTCGCTTACCTGACGCCCTGGGCTGCACGGCCTGCCTCTGCGAAGCATTGCAGGAGACGGATTGGGTCGTGAGGGTTCGGCAGGCAGCGCCGTGGAGCTCGGAGCCTGCGAAGGACACGGCGGGTTGACTATCATTGACTATCAGCGTCGCTTACCTGACGCCCTGGGCTGCACGGCCCGCCTCTGCGAAGCATTGCAGGAGACGGATTGGGTCGTGAGGGTTCGGCAGGCAGCGCCGTGGAGCTCGGAGCCTGCGAAGGACACGGCGGGTTGACTATCATTGACTATCAGCGTCGCTTACCTGACGCCCTGGGCTGCACGGCCCGCCTCTGCGAAGCATTGCAGGAGACGGATTGGGTCGTGAGGGTTCGGCAGGCAGCGCCGTGGAGCTCGGAGCCTGCGAAGGACACGGCGGGTTGACTATCATTGACTATCAGCGTCGCTTACCTGACGCCCTGGGCTGCACGGCCTGCCTCTGCGAAGCATTGCAGGAGACGGATTGGGTCGTGAGGGTTCGGCAGGCAGCGCCGTGGAGCTCGGAGCCTGCGAAGGACACGGCGGGTTGACTATCATTGACTATCAGCGTCGCTTACCTGACGCCCTGGGCTGCACGGCCTGCCTCTGCGAAGCATTGCAGGAGACGGATTGGGTCGTGAGGGTTCGGCAGGCAGCGCCGTGGAGCTCGGAGCCTGCGAAGGACACGGCGGGTTGACTATCATTGACTATCAGCGTCGCTTACCTGACGCCCTGGGCTGCACGGCCCGCCTCTGCGAAGCATTGCAGGAGACGGATTGGGTCGTGAGGGTTCGGCAGGCAGCGCCGTGGAGCTCGGAGCCTGCGAAGGACACGGCGGGTTGACTATCATTGACTATCAGCGTCGCTTACCTGACGCCCTGGGCTGCACGGCCCGCCTCTGCGAAGCATTGCAGGAGACGGATTGGGTCGTGAGGGTTCGGCAGGCAGCGCCGTGGAGCTCGGAGCCTGCGAAGGACACGGCGGGTTGACTATCATTGACTATCAGCGTCGCTTACCTGACGCCCTGGGCTGCACGGCCCGCCTCTGCGAAGCATTGCAGGAGACGGATTGGGTCGTGAGGGTTCGGCAGGCAGCGCCGTGGAGCTCGGAGCCTGCGAAGGACACGGCGGGTTGACTATCATTGACTATCAGCGTCGCTTACCTGACGCCCTGGGCTGCACGGCCTGCCTCTGCGAAGCATTGCAGGAGACGGATTGGGTCGTGAGGGTTCGGCAGGCAGCGCCGTGGAGCTCGGAGCCTGCGAAGGACACGGCGGGTTGACTATCATTGACTATCAGCGTCGCTTACCTGACGCCCTGGGCTGCACGGCCTGCCTCTGCGAAGCATTGCAGGAGACGGATTGGGTCGTGAGGGTTCGGCAGGCAGCGCCGTGGAGCTCGGAGCCTGCGAAGGACACGGCGGGTTGACTATCATTGACTATCAGCGTCGCTTACCTGACGCCCTGGGCTGCACGGCCCGCCTCTGCGAAGCATTGCAGGAGACGGATTGGGTCGTGAGGGTTCGGCAGGCAGCGCCGTGGAGCTCGGAGCCTGCGAAGGACACGGCGGGTTGACTATCATTGACTATCAGCGTCGCTTACCTGACGCCCTGGGCTGCACGGCCTGCCTCTGCGAAGCATTGCAGGAGACGGATTGGGTCGTGAGGGTTCGGCAGGCAGCGCCGTGGAGCTCGGAGCCTGCGAAGGACACGGCGGGTTGACTATCATTGACTATCAGCGTCGCTTACCTGACGCCCTGGGCTGCACGGCCTGCCTCTGCGAAGCATTGCAGGAGACGGATTGGGTCGTGAGGGTTCGGCAGGCAGCGCCGTGGAGCTCGGAGCCTGCGAAGGACACGGCGGGTTGACTATCATTGACTATCAGCGTCGCTTACCTGACGCCCTGGGCTGCACGGCCCGCCTCTGCGAAGCATTGCAGGAGACGGATTGGGTCGTGAGGGTTCGGCAGGCAGCGCCGTGGAGCTCGGAGCCTGCGAAGGACACGGCGGGTTGACTATCATTGACTATCAGCGTCGCTTACCTGACGCCCTGGGCTGCACGGCCTGCCTCTGCAAAGCATTGCAGGAGACGGATTGGGTCGTGAGGGTTCGGCAGGCAGCGCCGTGGAGCTCGGAGCCTGCGAAGGACACGGCGGGTTGACTATCATTGACTATCAGCGTCGCTTACCTGACGCCCTGGGCTGCACGGCCTGCCTCTGCGAAGCATTGCAGGAGACGGATTGGGTCGTGAGGGTTCGGCAGGCAGCGCCGTGGAGCTCGGAGCCTGCGAAGGACACGGCGGGTTGACTATCATTGACTATCAGCGTCGCTTACCTGACGCCCTGGGCTGCACGGCCTGCCTCTGCGAAGCATTGCAGGAGACGGATTGGGTCGTGAGGGTTCGGCAGGCAGCGCCGTGGAGCTCGGAGCCTGCGAAGGACACGGCGGGTTGACTATCATTGACTATCAGCGTCGCTTACCTGACGCCCTGGGCTGCACGGCCTGCCTCTGCGAAGCATTGCAGGAGACGGATTGGGTCGTGAGGGTTCGGCAGGCAGCGCCGTGGAGCTCGGAGCCTGCGAAGGACACGGCGGGTTGACTATCATTGACTATCAGCGTCGCTTACCTGACGCCCTGGGCTGCACGGCCTGCCTCTGCGAAGCATTGCAGGAGACGGATTGGGTCGTGAGGGTTCGGCAGGCAGCGCCGTGGAGCTCGGAGCCTGCGAAGGACACGGCGGGTTGACTATCATTGACTATCAGCGTCGCTTACCTGACGCCCTGGGCTGCACGGCCCGCCTCTGCGAAGCATTGCAGGAGACGGATTGGGTCGTGAGGGTTCGGCAGGCAGCGCCGTGGAGCTCGGAGCCTGCGAAGGACACGGCGGGTTGACTATCATTGACTATCAGCGTCGCTTACCTGACGCCCTGGGCTGCACGGCCTGCCTCTGCGAAGCATTGCAGGAGACG